TCGGTGATTGGTAGAAGAGTAGATTACAGTTCACTATGTAGAGAGAAGCCCTTAGATCCAAACTTAAAATATGTAAGGAGGCAGTTTTAGGCTACACTTCATTTAGCACACTCAGGAATACCATTTCAGCTTCAAGCTGTAAGTGTTTGCAGCCCCCTGAGACCACTTAATCCCAAGTTAAAAACCCCTGCTCAGAGGCAGCATCTTTGTTTTTTTTTTTTTTGAGACAGAGTCTCACTCTGTTGCCCAGGCTGGAGTGCAGTGGCACGATCTCAGCTCACTGCAACCACCACCTCCCGGGCTCAAGGGATTCTCCTGCCTCAGCCTCCCAAGTAGCTGGAATTACAGGCGCACGCCACTATGTCCAGCTAATTTTTTTTTGTATTTTTAGTAGAAATGGGGTTTCAGCATTTCACCATGTTGGCCTGGCTGGTCTTGAACTCTTGACCTCAAGCGATCCAACTGCCTCGGCCCCCCAAAGTGCTGGCATTGCAGGCATAGATCACTGCTCCCAGCCCAGTGAGGCACCATCTTATTGGATATGGAGACAAAGAATCTGCCTTAGCATCCTGGATTTGTATTTTCTTTCCAAGAATCCTTAAATGAATTTCTAACTTTTGTGAGCCACAAGTTCCTCAGCTATGAAATTAGTGACATTAACCTCCTCTCTTCAGATTTATATGAGGATCAACTAAAATGACATAGGGAAAAAACGCATCCTAGCAAGTTGGTATCTACTTTAGAAATGAAGGAGGTCATGGGTATGTGAAGTCTCCAGACTCAACATGCCATCTTATATGTGTCTATTTCTACAAGTGAGCTGGTGACAACAGTAATCGCTATTTTGGCTCATACATGGGTAGGGCTGATCTTGACTAGGAGGAGTCGATAAGACTCACCAGCTGTGGCCACTGTCTGTGCTGATTGGCTAGTGCCCATGTCTCAGAAACTGCTACATATTTTGACTATTCCTCCTGCACTTAAGGGCATGCACACTCCCAAAATAGACTCAGATTGTCTAAGGAATAATAATGATAAAGAGAAAGCCCTCTTTATCTGGTCTATTTGGAGTCAGTTCCAAAAGCATTAAGAATTTCTGCTGAACTAATGCAGCTAGTTTCTTTCCTGCCACCACTTTCCTTCTAAAATAGTTTCAAGATCTGTGGGGGAAAACATCTAATTACAGTGAACGGACTGGTGGGAGGAAGTTAAGCATTGGGGTTTTCTGCCCTGTGGAACCTTGTCCTGACTTGGGCAGATGGTATCACACTACCTGGTCATCATCCGCTCATTCACTGTTTGACCAGTTGGTCATTCATCCACAAATGTCCTTTTTGCAGGAGGAATGAAGGTGCTAGATCTGCAGATGCTAGCATGAAAAGACAAATCTCCTGCTGCCAAGGTGCTTAAAGTAGTGGAGGTCAGGGGACAAGCAAGCAGACAGGCAGCTGTGAATGCAGACAGGAAGCACCACGAGGCAGTGGGACCCACAGAGTGGTATCAGGGTAGAGATGAGCGGGTCTCGTGTGGGGAGGGAGGAAGTGGACTGCAGAGAAGGTGACGGGACGAAAATAGCTTGAGAGGTGTGGAGCTGGAAGGGCTGTCACATTTGTTTATTAATATGCCCTTTGCAAAAGAGTGGCCTGATGCCTGGAGTCACTCAAAAGATTTCCAATTCCACTAGGAAAGAGTCTATTTTGGCTTCAGTGGTTGTATGTGCACCCCCTGATTTGCTGTGTGCTGAGGCATTGTGGTGATGGACGCAAGTGCAGAGACCTTGAGCATGTATCAGACTCTGGTTCTTGCCCTGAGTCCTGGAAGGAGGCAGGACGGACATCGTGGGAGACAGGCACCACTGATCAGTGATGAGACCAGACCTGGAACTCGCATCTTTTACTCAGTCCTCTGCCCTTTCTGCTGGATGGTGCCCCCCCAGTATAGGGTGCAACGCACAATTGGAGCATTTAAGGGCCACAAAGAGGACAGATTACCAATGCTTGTGTGTTGATTCTTTAAGCCTGTTATCTCATGGAAAAATCATTTATAAAACTCTGTGTATGGGATGAGTAGGAAATAGAGAGTGAGTATTAATGGGTGCAGGCTTTTTTTGGGGGGCAATGGAAACAGCCTGGAATTAAATAGTGGTGATGTTTTCACACTTTGTGAAATACTAAAAACTCCTGAATTGTACAGTCTTAAGGAACTTTTATTTATTTGTTTTTGAGACAAAAGTCCCTGTGTCACCCAGGCTGAAGTGTGGTGGCATGATCACCGATTATTGCAGCCTCAATCTCTGAGGCTCAAGTGATTCTCCCACCTCAGCCTACCAAGTAGCTGTGACTATAGGTGCGCACCACCACATGCAGCAAATTTGTAATTTTTTGTAAAAACAAGGTTTTACCATGTTGCCCAGTCTGGTCTTGAACTCCTGTGCCCAAGCAATCCTCCCACTTCGGCTTCCCAAAGTGCCAGGATTACAAGCATGAGTCACCACACACGGCCTCAGGTTTAAGAAACTTTTAAATAAATGAAATATAGTCATACCAAAACAATAAAAATGGGTTTCGGGGAAAAAAATGTCTTTAAAACAAACTTATGTATGGTATAATCCTAGTCCTTTTAAAAAAATGCTTTCAAAAACTGGCAGTCAAGTCATAAAAGGACAAATACTTATGATTCCACTCATAAAGTAGTCAAAAGTAGTCAAAAACCATAGAAACACCACCATAAATGTATAATTTTTATTTTCAATTTTAAAAAAGGTAAGTCAAAATCATAGAAACAGAAAGTAGACAGGTGGTTACTAAGGGCTATGGGATGGGGAAGTTAGTGTCTCATGGGCATAGAGTTTCAGTGTTACAAGATTAAAAGTTCTAGAGTTATGCTGCCCAGCAGTGTGAATATGCCTTATTGTACTGTACACTTAAAATGGTTAATATGATAAATTTAGCATTATGTGCTTTTTACTATAGTAAAATAAAAGAAAAAAAAAATGGGGCCGAGTGCAGTAGCTCACACCTGTAACATAATCCCAGCACTTTGGGAGGCCGAGGTGGGAAGATCACTTGAGGCCAGAAGTTTGAAACTAGCCTGGTCAATATAGCGAGACCTCATCTCTACAAAAGAAAAATGTTAAAATTAGACAGGTGTGGTACTTGTAGTCCCAGCTCTCCGGAGGCAGGGACTGAGGCAGAGGATCACTTGAGGGTAGGGGTTTGAGGCTGCAGCGAGCCATGCTTCTGCCACTGCTGCAGCCTAAGCAACAGAGCAAGATCCTGTTGTAAAAACAAACAAACAAAAACTGGCAGCTAATACCTGAGAGTGAATATCTTTTATCTCTGGTTAATGGGATTGAGAAAATACTTCATGTTATAGAAAGAACAGTGTCTTTGGACCCACACAGACCTAGATTTAAGATTAGCTCTGCCAATTACTAAGTACTCTTTACTATGAACCTCTGTTCTCATCTGTGAAACTGGAATAATGAATCCTACCTCCAAGAATTATAGTCAAGTTGGAAACAATTTACACAAAGTGCCAAACACCAAGCCTGGCACAGTAGGAACTGAGTAAATAGTGGTTAATATTTTTATCAGTGTCTGCATTGCTGACATCTCCATCATTTCTATGCATTTATTTTTGAATCAGAAAAAGATGTTATTTAAAAAAATAACCTAGTAGTGCCCCTTGTCCCATTCCTATCAGTTATATTATTATTGTTACTACCCTCTGGAATTTCAATAGCTCTTTGTTTTTTGGGTTTTTTGTTTTGTTTTGCTTTGCTTTTGAGACAGGGTCTCACTCTGTCACCCAGTCTGGAGTATAGTGATGTAATCTCAGCTCACTGCAGCCTCAACCTCCTGGGCTCAGGCAGTCCTCCCACTTCAGCTTCCCAAGTAGCTGGGACCACAGGCGCATGCCACCACACTTGGCTAATTTTTGCATTTTTAGTAGAGACAGGGTTTTCCCATGTTGCCTGGGCCTGTCTGGAACTCCTGGGCTCAAGCGATCTGCCTGCCTCGGCCTTCCAAAGTGCTGGCCTAAATAGCTCTCTGTATTTGCAAAAGTGTGTTGTAAGAATCATTCAAAGCCTCTCGATTGGTTGGAGGCTCTAGAATACACAGAAAAAGGCTGCTGCTGTGTATCTCTGCAAGTCATGCACAAGATGGGGAACAGCAGGCTCCCTCTTGCTTACCAGTTCCAATGCAGGGAACTGAGCCCTGTAGCTGTTTCTTTCATATCTCACCCATTTTAAAGAGACCACAGGCTTTAGAAGTAAAGGACTCTTTTGTTGAAGGAGTGTTTTAAAATTTAAATGAGCATTTATTGTTCAAAGACGGACCAACCAGTTTTTTGAAGAATTCAAGGCTCTTTAGAGAAAAATAAAGCCTTGGAGGAGTATCTGAGAAGCTTGTTAGAGGCATGGGAAGGGTCTGGAAATAAAAAACTTCATCTGGAGTTTCTGCCTTCTACCAACAGAGCTGAAGCTAATGCTCTTCTAAGACAAGCAAAACAGATGGTTTGCGTACTTCCTTTCCTTCCTTTTACTTCTTCTGTAATAGACTTGTCGTGTCTGATGTTTGGGCTGACGTAGTACTCTAATAGAGTTAGAGTCTGCATTTTTTATGTCCTCTAGTATGTTCTGGTTGATGGTTGAGGGCAACAAACCAGGAATCCCAGATGCCAGCACCAAGACCTCAGACAGGTCACTTAACTCTCTGAGCTCCATCACCGTTCTCTCCTTGCAGACCTCACAGGGAACAGGCAAAGCTCTATAAGATACAACATCATTATGATTAATCCTATTCTGATTCTGAAAGCAAAGCTCTTCCTACACAAACTCCTATTTCTAAATACTAAATTAAAGACATTTATTTATGGTGTATTTTGTGTACTTGTAGAAATGGAAAGTGTTGAGATAAAACATGAAGCAATGATGACAAAGTGCTAACTTTTTCTTGTTTTAATTTCTTCATGCTTTTTTCCACCTAATCCCCTAGAGTGGTGTCTTAACTGTTAAACTGGGTGGAGATCTAGGAACCTACGTGATCAACAAGCAGACGCCAAACAAGCAAATCTGGTTATCTTCTCCATCCAGGTATGTAGGTATGTTCAGAAGTCAACATCTGTAATTCTTAAAGACTTCCAAAATGCAACATTGTGGACCATTTAAGAAATGTCAGCTGAGCACAGTGACTCACACCTGTAATCCCAACACTTTGAGAGGCTGAAGTAGGAAGATCACTTAAGGACAGTTCAGAACCAACCTGGGCGACATAGTGAGTCCCTGGCTCTGTAAAGAAAAGAAAAATAAAGTCACGGCTGGGTGCAGTGGCTCACACCTGTAATCCCAGCACTATGGGAGGCCAAGAGTGTGGATCACTTGAGTTCAGGAGTTTGAGACAAGCCTGGGCAATGTCACAAAACCCCGCCTGTACTAAAAATACAAAAGTTAGCCAGGTGTGGTGGCACACGCCTATAGTCGCAACTACTTGGAAGGCTGAGGTTGAGCCTCAGCGTGAGCCCAGGAGGTGGATGTTGCAGTGAGCCAAGATCACGCCACTGCACTCCAGTCTGGGCAACAGGGCCAGACCCTATCCCCTCTCCCCCGCAAAAAAACAAGTCACTGTCTTATGTTAGTATCCTTATAATTGAGTCTTTCCTGATATTTTGCAGCCTGTCTCATTCTCAGTAGAAAAATTTACTCTAGTTATATAACTTCTCCCTGCTGACAATTTGGATACTGTAAGCAGGCATCAGGATATTAAGAAGATCTGAAGTGAATAGCTTATAACTTTTCCAAATTCAGCCTAGACAGTTTTCCTCTATTAAATCATTGCCCTGACTTTTAAAAAAAAAGCTGCTTTTGACCTTGTAGCATTTGAACAAGTTGCACTTTGTCTTCAAAGCAAGTTAAAGTTTGACCTCTACTTGTTTTGAGCCTCTCAGGTAAAGGGTTATTTGAATTCCCTTTGCAGGATGGGGTTGTGTACCCTGTGGAGGTGGCAGAGTGTTTTATATTGCTGTTCTAGGGCATTTAATCCCTCCTGCCTTTTCCATTGATGTGCTTTCAATGTAGAGGAATAAAAGATTGTGTTGGAGACACAATGCAGCCTGCATAGCATCTGAAAGCCTGAGAACATGCAGTGAGAGATGTCGCTCATCCCTCAGCAGCCTGGCTGCTGTTGAAGTGGTTGTAAGAAAGTAAAAGAGAAATGCCCACAAAAAGCTCTCAGATCCAGTCATTCATTAGCACTTCCAAAGAGAGCATGTTGACTATGAATTGGGAAAGGGCTAGATAAAGCCAGCATAGAATTCTTTGAAAGACTAATGGTATTTGCATTTTTAAAAAATTATAACCTTACTCTACCCCCTAACATTGACATCATTTTTAGGCAATTAATATTATACCATTTATCATTCTGTGATCTCTAATGCTTTGTTCAGAATAAATAGTGTTATGTTTCCTTTCCCCACACTCTCATCCAGGAAGTGTGCTAGAGTTTAACAAAAACAGCACTAGAAATCACTGTCATTCTAGGAAGGCCCTAATTCACAACTCGTATTGGTTTTTAGAGCCAGTTAGTGTGGAGGTTGGAGGATTTTAACCTCTGTGGGCCAGTTAGCCTCTGTGGCTTCAGTCACTCTTCCTGACCCTGGCCATGCTTGAGCCTGTGTGTTCTTATCCATCTCCGGGGGAACAAAGTGGATCAGCTCAGTCCAGCGATCACTTTTGGGGATCATTGGCTTTGTAAATATCGGGCAGGCACCTACCCCAAAAGAATTTTCCCCATATCTGGAGACTGAAAACTTCCATATCGTATTTGGACACACTGTCCAGCAATAGGCTCTTACCCTAGCTGTGTTCAGAAATATGGGAATTTGGAAAGATCTGCTGAGCAAGCTATTTACTGTCACAGATACTATCTTCCTCAAAAAAAATTATATATATGTGTATATATATGGGGGGGGGCAGGGTGAGACTGAAGAAGTGCATCGGCGGGAGAAGGCCACACCCAGAGACCACAGGCTCCTGGGTCCACCTCAGGCCCCTCCCCTTCCTGCGTCCAGTTTCCGGCGGATCCAGAGAGGCCACCGCCGCGTAGAAGTCAGGGGAAGGGAGGGAGAGAAGCGTTTCCTGAGGACAATCTCTCAGTGCTTCTGTGGGAAGTGGCGGCAAGATGGCAGCTCCCAGCGGGGGACGGAAGCCGAGTCACTCTGCTGGTCGCTGGAGGCCAGGACGCTGCCTAACACAGCCGTCCCGCTCCAGGCCCTCACTACCAGGACGGCTCTCCCCACTCCCGGCCTGCTGCCCACACAGACTGCGGGGTCTGGGGGAGCAGGACCCTGGACGTCCCGCTCCTGTCTTGGAAGGAGCAGGCCGGAGCACGGGAGCGCCGTGTAGCTGTGCCTGCAAAGGCACAGGATTCCGTGGGAGGATCCCGCAGCTTCGGGCCGTTGTCATTGTTTTCATACCTGTGGTGAATGGCATGACCAGACACACGGTAATGTCTGGAGAAACCTCTGAAGAGGAGTAAGAGGTTGTGGACATGCTGTGGCCCGGACAGTGGCTGCTGAGCCATTGGAGCCTGCACCCACCCAACTTGGCCAAAGAAGCCCCCATACTCTCTGTGGAAAAGATTTCCAGAAGCTGTTGTGTCAATAACAAAGCCTCAGAAAAAAAAAAAAAAACCATAAAATTATCAACAGTGAAGATCATCCTTGAGTCTGATTTGAAAAGTAGGATGAAATTCTGCAGAGGCATTCTACTGGCAAGATACCACCCTCAGCCAGATCTGCAGGTCCCGGCCATCATGCCAGGGAAAATGCTCCATTTACCACTCCTCAGCTTCTGTTTCTGGTTTCAGAGGTCTGTGTATTGGAGGGGCTTTAAAGCGAGAAGGATCTTTACCCACTTACTCTTATTGGCAGATGTGAATATGGAGGTCCAGTGGGGAAAGTGACATGTCCTAAGTCAGAGTAGAGTCAACAAGAAAACAGGACCAAAAATGACTGAGCCTCTAGTGTATAATGGGCATTGATGAGCTACTGGAAATTCGGAGATGAAGAAAACACAGTCCCATCTTCAAGGAGCTCAATCTAGCAAGGGAGACAGATTCTTTGTAGGTGGGACCAGGCTTCCCTGCAGCAGAAGGAAGCTTGAAATTGGTAACGAGCCTCAGCAGGGACAGAGGTAGGCCACCATGCTACCCTGAGAGGATTGCATGTGGACACGGGGCTATGACCTGGCCCTGCTTTGACCCACTAGCTGTGCTATCGGGCCAGGTGGGGCCTGGAGTGGCCTGTGCTAAGGGGCTACTATGAGCTCTTTCCACTCCCCCAAGGCATTGCATAAATAATGTCACTTTCTGTTTGCACAGCAAAATCAAGGACACAATTTTCTAGAACTTGGGGTGCCTCCCCTCTCCCCAGCCCAACAGAAGGTCTACAATGACTGATGGGCCCTTGTTTTTGTTAGAGATGGAACACCCCGCAGGGTTCCGAGTGGTCATTTGTGGCCCACAGGCCACTGGCAAGTGGAGGCAGAGCTGTGGAGCCCTCGGGAGCCACAGAGGGCCTGCTGGCTGCCACAACATGCCAACTCAGCTGCTGCTGGCCCTCCTGTGGGTGGCAGTGCTAGTGATGTGCAGAATCCTGGGACTAGTGCCAGGGAACCTATGGATACCCTGGGTGACCCAGGTGTGCACTGCTGTGGTGGCCTTCACAGTCAGAAGATGACATGCTGAGAAGGGGAGAATCAGCCCAGGGTGAGATCCGCAGAAAGGCCAGGACCAAGATGCGGCCAGCACCTCAGGCTGGAGGGTTCCAAATGAAATGAGCAGGTCCTCCTGTCAGGACCTAGGTTAGTTTCTGAAAAAGCATGAAAAGCAGACCTCCTGAACTTCCCCGAGCGACTGATGCAAAGCACGTCCTGCATGCTTCACAGCACCGTGGAGAGGATCTTCAGGGGCAAACTGCAGACTATCTCAATGATGGCACTGACCATCAGCAAACTGCAGAGCTGCCTGACCAAGAAATTACGAGACAGAAGCAATGTTTGCAGGAAAAGAAGAAGGGGCCAGACACGGTGGCTCACACCTGTAATCCCAGCACTTTGGGAGGCTGAGGCAGGCGGATCACTTGAGGTCAGGAGTTTGAGATGAGCCTGGGCAACATGGTGAAACCCTGTCTCTACTAAAAGTACAAAAAATTCGCCAGGTGTGGTGGCAGGCACCTGTAATCCCAGCTACTTGGGAGGCTGAGGCAGAAGAATCGCTTGAACCCAAGAGGTGGAGGTTGAAATGAGCTGAAATCCTGCCACAGCACTCCGTCCTGGGCAACAGAGCGAGACTCTGTCTCAAAAAAAGGAGAAGGAGGAAAGGCCAAGGCAGGAATGAAACAGGCCAGGAATGTTGTAGTGAAGCAAATAGCCTCCCTGTGCAAAGGTGCTATTGTGAGCTCTTTCCACTCCCCCAAGGCATCGCATAAATAATATCACTTTCTGTCACTCACCCCACTGAGTGTCCTGCCTCTGCTCAAGGGTGGTACAATGGGGACTTGGCAGTGGAGGGGAGCAAGGAAGCTGGACATGGTGCTTCCCCAGCGTCCTAGCCACAAGTCCCTCTGAAGAGTGTGGATGACAATGGTGACCTTAGTTGCATCTTTCTAATGTCCTGAGGGGGCAATTGTAGAAGCAAACATGCAAATGTGGGAAGAAATCCAAAGGAGTAAAGAACTCACGGCACAAGTGCATAGTGTGCTGGGGGAATAGGCCTCTGCTGCCCGCTCTGCCTGGACTGCACCAAAGACATTTGATGAGGCCATAGAGGGAGTCCACGGAGGAGGACACCTACTGCCAGACCTTTAGCAGAGACTAAGCAAAGGGCACGATAACTTGAACCGCATGTGTCACACCCATGACCACTACAAGAATATGGCCCAAAACCTGGCCCAGAAATTGAAGAAAGACACTTCCAGTTTTCAGAGAGAGATGGTCTGCTATAAGAAAACGGCCCAGGGGATAGGCACAGTAGCTCACGCCTGTAATCCTAGCACTTTGGGAGCCCGAGGCAGGCAGATGGCTTGAGCTCAGGAGTTCGAGACCAGCCTGGGCAACATGGTGAAATCCTGACTCTACCAAAAATACAAAAATTAGCCGGGTGTGGTGGTGCATGCCTGTGGCCCCACCTACTCGGGAGGCTGAGGTGGGAGGATTGCTTGAGCCTGGGAGGCAGAGGTTGCAGTGAGCCAAGATTGCACCACTGTACTCCAGTCTCGGTGACAGAGTGAGACCCCATCTGAAAAAAAAAAAAAAAAAAAAAAAAAGAAGAAGAAGAAAATGGCCCAGGAAGTCTGGAGGGCTGCCGTGTCCATTGAGAGAGTGCTCCAGGCACTCCAAAAAGAAAATGACCACAATAGGCAGAAATTGGCTGACTATGAGGCCAAGTTCCAGCCTTTTCCAAGTGGCTTTTGGCTCCTGGGGCCCCACCCACAGCTGACAGGGTTCTGGAAGTGCCACAGGGACCATGGGCTGCCAGGGCCCCCAGGAGGGAGGCAGGTCACAATGTGAGGGCTTGGTTGGGGCCAGAGCACCAGCCTGTTTGATTCTGTTTTCCTTGTACCTGGGTCCTGAATGCCCAGAGACTCGGGAACACCAGCTAGTGCTGCTCCCTTTAAAGCACTTTTGATTGATCTCTTGTTAATTTAGCAACTGTTATTAGTTGATGCTGCAGTTGCTTTTATTGAAGTTTGATTGATACTGTTAGGATCATAAGGTACTATTTTTCAAATAAAGATTGTTTAACATAAAAAAAATTTTTGTTTTTTTCCTCTCAGCCTTTCACATTGGTTCAAAATCTCTTTCATCCAGCTACATTTCTGATTTTTTCTTGTTGTTTTCCTTAATTTTATTTATTTTTAATTAAAAATAAATTTTTTTGTCAACATGGGGTCTCACTTTGTTGCCTAGGTTGGTCTCAAACTCGTGGCTTCAAGCAGTCTCCCACATCAGCCTCCCAAAGTGATGGAGTTATGGGTGTGAGCCACTGCACCTGGCCTGTTTTTTTTTAAAGTTGATAACTTTTCAGGTTCTGTGGGATCAGTAGTCTTTCCTCCCACCTTACCCACCCTGACGAGGTTGCAGTATGGAATAAAGGAGAGTTCTAGGGACACTTGCACATCAGTGCCTGTGCTCAGAGCATCTCAAGCAGTGTGAAGGGGTCTAGAGGTTTCTCAGGCTCTGCCTGGCAACCCAATAGCAGCATCAGAGTATAGGGCCAAGGTCCTGATCCTTGGGCTTGGTGTAGTTTATTAGTTATTTTTATGTGACCCTGATGGTTTGGTTCACTCATTTTTTATCTACATACTGGGAACAGGTTCAAGCCCCAGCATTTGGTTGATAATGCAGGAATCCTTGATCCTTTTATTGCCCAAGCTTCCCTTCCTGGTGACCTCCTCCTAGCCTCAGTCTTTGGAAAAGCCCTCCTTGAGTGCTCAGGCAGATTCAGGTGCCCTTTCTTCTGGGCTCCTGTGCACTCTGTTCTTACCTTCATCAGGGTGCCACATGCACCAGTGTTATCTGATTCCATGGCCATTCATCCATGAGGCCATGAGGAAGTGGAATGTACATCTGGTATACCAAGACATGGCAGAAGCCAGCCTCCAATCTGTCCACATGAATACGGCATTCCCAAAGCGACGTGCATGTGCCGTTGTTCACTGGATGAGCTTGAGGTGGATGAACTAGACCACCAGGCTCTCAATGTCATGAATTTAACATTGAATTAAGAAAAATATTTTTAAAAAATAATAGTTTAGGTGATTGCTGGGGTGCTAGGAGAGGAAAGAATGGGGAATAACTGTTTAATGGGTAGAGTTGGCCTTCTGTATTTGTGGGTTGCACATCTGCTGATTCAACCAACCATGGATCAAAATATTTGAAAATAAAAAACAATAAAACAACGAAAATGATACAAATAAAAAATCAATATAACAACTATTAACATAGCATTTACATTGTACTAGGCATTATAAGTAACCTAGAGATGACTTAAAGTATATGGGAGGATGTGCCTAGGTTAGATGCATGTGTTGTACCATTTCATATCAGGGACTTGAGTACCCACAGATTTTGGTATCTGCAGATCCTGGAACCCCTTCCCCGTAGATACCAAGGAACAACAGCACTAGCTTTCCTTTTGGGGTGATGCAGATGTTTTGGAGCTAGAGGTAGTGGTTGCACAACATTGTAAATGTACTAAATGCCACCAAATTATTCATTTTTAAATGGTTAATTTTATGTTATGTGAATTTTACCTTAACAACTAATAATAGTATAGGTAAGGCACAAGTATAGGTAAGGTAATAATAGTATAGGTAAGGCACATCAGTGGCACAAAAATGGCCCTAATTTTTAAACACTACTGTAGCATAGCAGGTGTCACATGTGAGGTAGCAAAAGCTGGAGATCAAAGTGTGATACCTGGAGACTTATCAGTAAGGGTCAAATGTTTTTTCAGGTTTTGAGAATGATTCTGGGAATTGTTCCAGAAGATCTATTGTATAACTCTTCTTAGATGCTAAGATAAGAAGTCAGATATACACTGTAGCTCATTTTGTGTTATTTTCTAGAGCCTTACTCCAGTCAATTTCTTGGGGGCAGCATTTGTGGAATCAGTGGTTCATCTGAAGGGCTGTACTCTGGAATTACTATGTATTTTTTTTGTCTTTCAGTGGACCCAAGCGTTATGACTGGACTGGGAAAAACTGGGTGTATTCCCACGACGGCGTTTCCCTCCATGAGCTGCTGGGCGCAGAGCTCACTAAAGCCTTAAAAACCAAACTGGACTTGTCTTCCTTGGCCTATTCCGGAAAAGACGCTTGATGCCCAGCCCATTTTTAAGGACTTTAAAAGCTATTAGGCCAATACCCCAGCTTCATTATGCAGCTGAGGTCTGTTTTTTTGTTGTTGTTATTTTTTTCATTCCTGCTTTTGAGGACAGTTGGGCTATGTGTCACAGCTCTGTAGAAAGAATGTGTTGCCTCCTATCTTGCCCCCAAGTTCTGATTTTTTATTTCTACAGAAGATTTTTTGGATTGTCTGATTTCCTCCCTCACATGCTATCCCTTATCTTTTACAATGTCTTATGCCTATCCCTGAATATAACAACCTTTAAAAAAGCAAAATAATAAGAAGGAAAAATTCCAGGAGGAAAAATGAATTGTCTTCACTCTTCATTCTTTGAAGGATTTACTGCAAAAAGTACATGAAGAGCAGCTGGTCAACCTGCTCACTGTTCTGTCTCCAAATGAGACACATTAAAGGGTAGCCTACAAATGTTTTCAGGCTTCTTTCAAAGTGTAAGCACTTCTGAGCTCTTTAGCATTGAAGTGTTGAAAGCAACCCACATGGAAAGACCGTTTCTTATTTGTGATTTGTGGCTGCCAGGGTGTGGCCTGTACTGGGTTGTCCAGGAAGACCCAGTGCTGTTTCTTCCGCATATTCACATATGTGTCTGTGTGTATATATGTATTTTCAATTTAAGGGTTAGTATGGAATCAGCTGCTACAAGAATGCAAAAAATCTTCCAAAGACAAAAAAAGAGGAAAAAAAGCCATTTTCGTGAGCTGAGTGATATAGTGTAATAAACAAAATCATGGAGCTGAGGAGGTACCTTGTCAATGTAAAGGGGCATATAAATGAAAGAGATACTTGTGTTGATAAAGAGAGCCGCGGTCCTAGACATAGTTCTGTCACAAAGTAGTTGTCCCTTTGTGGACAAGTTTCCCAAACTCCCTGGACCTCTGCTTCCCCATCTGTTAAATGAGAGGATAGAGCATGGTTGATTCCCAGCATTCAGTGGTCCTGTCAAGCAGCCTCACAGGTGAGCTCTAATTCCCGTTGGGTAGATGAGGGGATGACAAAGAACAGTTTTTAAGTTATATAGGAAACATGGTTATTAGTGTTGCCCTATTGAGATTTCAGTTGAATTCATGTGAGAATAATAGCCATCCTTGGCCAGGCACGGTGGCTCACACCTGTAATCCCAGCACTTTTGGTGGCCGAGGTGGGTGGATCCCCTGAGGTCAGGAGTTCAAGACCAGCCTGGCCAACATGATGAAACCCCATCTCTACTAAAAATGCAAAAATTAGCTGGGCATGATGGCAGGTGCCTGTAATCCCAGCTACTCGGGAGGCTAAGGCGGGAGAATCACTTGAACCCGGAGGCAGAGGTTGCAGTGGGCGGAAATCGTGCCATTGCACTCCAGCCTGGGCGACTGAGCAAAACTCCATCTCAAAATAATAATAATAATAATAAGCTATCCTTTATTGTACCCTTACTGGGTTAAGCCTATTATACCACACTACCTCATTTTAATTTTTACTGACCTGCACTTTATACATAAAGCAACAAGCCTCCAGGACATTAAAATTCACACAAAGTTATGCTCATATTATTTTCTTATTTAAAGGAGGATTTATTAGTGGTCGGGCTCACACCTATAATCCCAGCACTTTGGGAGGCTGAGGTGGCTGGATCACCTAAGGTCAGGAGTTTGAGACCAGCCTGGCCAACATGGTGAAATCCCATCTCTATTAAAGATAAAAAATTAGCTGGGCATGGTGGCATGCAGCTGTAATCCCAGGTACTTGGGAGGCTGAGACGGGAGAATTGCCTGACCCCGGGAGGCAGAGGTTGCAGTGAGTCGAGATCGTGCCTGAGCGACTGAGTGAGACTCCGTCTCAAAAAAAAAAAAAAGAAGGGTTTGTTAGTGACAAGTCTGTATTAATATGTAGCAAAGCCTTTTCCAAAGGGTGAATAAAAACACATTCCATTAAGTTAAGCTGGGAGCAGTGGCATATACCTATATTCCCAGCTACTTAGGAGGCTGAGACAGGAGGATTGCTTGAAGCCAGAAATTGGAGATCAGCCTGGGCAACATTGCAAGATCCTATCTCTTAAAAAAAGAAAAAAAAACCTCTTAATAATAAAACAGTATAAACAGAAGCTAAATAAGTAAAATATTTTCTTTCTTCTGAAATAAAATTATTTTTTGAATCTGATGGAAATGTTTAAGTGCAGTAGGCCAGTGCCAGTGAGAAAACAAATAAAATCATACATGTTTGTGTGTGTGTGCATCTTGCTTCTACTGAAAGTTTCAGTGCACCCCACTTACTTAGAACTTGGTGACATAATGTACTCCTTTATCTGGGACACAGCACAAACTTAAGAGGTATGCAGTGGGGCTGCTGTGACATGAAAGTGGAAGTTAAGGAATCTGGGCTCTTATGGGGTCCTTGCGGGCCAGCCCTTCAGGCCTATTTACTTTTATTTTACATATAGCTCTAATTGGTTTGATTATCTAGTTCCCAAGGCAGTGGGAGATCCCTATTTAAGGAAGGAAAAGGGACCCAGCACAGTGGCTCATGCCTGTAATCCCAGCACTTTGGGAGGCTGAGGCGGGTGGATCACCTGAGGTCAGGAGTTCGAGACCAGCCTGGCCAACATGGGGAAACCCTGTCTGTACTAAAAATATTTAAAAATTAGCTGGGCATGGTGGCTCGTGTCTATAATTCCAGCTACTCAGGAGGCTGAGGCAGGAGAATCGCTGTAACCTTGGGGGTGGAGGTTGCAGTGAGACGAGATCATGCCACTTCACTCCAGCCTGGCCAACAGAGCCAAACTCTATCTCAAATAAATAAATAAATAAGGAAGGAAAGGGACTTCAAACACATGAACAGCAGCCGGGGGAAGAATCAAAATCATATTCTGACAAGCAAACTGGAAAAGTACCACCGTGTGGACCAATCGCCCCCCCACCGCAGACCCTGGGAGCATCGCCTCATTTATAGTATGGTCCAGTCACCAACGTGAAGGATGAGTTTCCAGGAAAAGATTATTAAATGTTCACTATAACATATTGGAGGAGGTGAGGAATTGCATAATACAATCTTAGAAAACTTTTTTTTTCTTTTCTGTTTTTTGAAACAGGATCTCACTTTGTCACCCAGGCTGGAGGACAGTGGTGCAATCAAAGCTCATGGCAGCCTCGACCTCCCTGGGCTCGGGCAATCCTCCCACAGGTGTGCACCACCATACCTGGCTAATTTGTGCGTTTTTTGTAGAGATGGAGTTTCACCATGTTGCCCAGGCTGGTCTCAAACACCTGGGCTCAAGTGATCTGCCTGCCTCGTCCTCCCAAAATGTTGGGATTACAGGTGTGTGCCACAGGTGTGCATCAGAAAGTTTTTTCTATTATATTTACCTTCTTGAGTGGGTAGACCCTCAGCCACAGAAAATAAAACGTGCCAGCATGACTTACCATGACTTATTTAGCTCTCTCGAGTTGCAAAGAAGCAATGAGGTATGTAAAAGAGAACCTGGGTTTTTGAATCACAAATTCTAGAATTTAATTGAAGCTCTGCCTCTTGTTTGTTGATACACTGGCCTCATTTTTTTTTTAATCTATAAAATGGAGATATCTAACATGTTGAGCCTGGACCTACAGGCAAAACACAGTCCTGATGTGAGAAGCACTCAATTCATGACAAGTGTTGTTCTCACGTGCACAGCGTAATTTCATATTCACATTGGAGGACTTCCCCCAAAATATGGATGACATTCTCTACTCAACCTTGAACTTAATCAAAATATTCATTTTACTTAACTTCGTAGTAATCAAAATATTCATTTTACTTAACTTCGTAGTAGATTCTGTTTCCCTGGAACCATTCATCTTGTGCCTTACCATGCTTATATTTTACTCCATCTTATGTACACCTTATAAAAATATTGTAGCCAATTTAAAATTTGACAGTTTGCATTAAATTATAGGTTTACAATATGCTTTGTCCGGCTATACTTGCCCCAAATTCTGACAAATGCTTCTGCCACCTCTAAAGGAAGACCCATGTTCATAATGATGGAGTTTGTGTGGATTAACCATGCAAGGTTGCCAAGGAAAAATCACTTTACACTTCCAAGGTACACACTAAAATTAAAGTAATTTTAGTCCGTGTCCAGTTGGATTCTTGGCACATAGTTATCTTCTGCAAACTAAAACAGCTACATGCCAGCAAGGGAGAAGGGAAGGAGGGGCGAAGTTTTGAAATTTCATGTAAATTTATGGTGCTGTTCAAAACGACAAGTTCATGACTTTCTGCGTATACAGTAAGAAATTGGCTTTTTGTTGTTGTTGTTGTTGTTGTTTTGAGATGGAGTCTTGCTCTGTCGCCCAGGCTGGAGTGCAATGGCGCAATCTGGGTTCACTGCCACCTCTGCCTCCTGGGTTCAAGCAATTCTCTGCCTCAGCCTCCCGAGTAGCTGGGATTACAGGCACCCGCCACCACACCTAGCTAATTTTTGTTTTTGTTTTTTTTCATTTGTTTGTTTGTTTTCTGAGATGGAGTCTCACTCTGTCACCCAGGCTGGAGCGTAGTGGCACAATCTCGGCTCCCTGCAAGCTCTGCGTCCCGGGTTCACGCCGTTCTCCTGCCTCAGCCTGCCGAGTAGCTGGGACTACAGGTGCCCGCCACTACGCCTGGCTAATTTTTTGTATTTTTAGTAGAGACGGGGTTTCACCGTGTGAGCCAGGGTGGTCTCGATCTCCTGACCTCGTGATCCGCCTGCCTCGGCCTCCCAAAGTGCTGGGATTACAGGCGTGAGCCACTGCACCCGGCCTAATTTTTGTATTTTTAGTAGAGATGGGGTTTCACCATCTTGGCCAGGCTGGTCTTGAACTTCTGACCTCGTAATCCACCTGCCTCAGCCTCCCAAAGTGCTGGGATTACAGGAATGAGCCACTGCACCCAGCCAGAAATGCCTTTTAATCTTTGGTTTCACTTAATTAGCCAGGACACTTGGAGTGCATCCCGAAGTACCTGATCAGTGGCCCCTTTGGAGTGTGTAAAACTCAGCTCACTTATATCCCTGCATCCGCCACAGAGACAGAATCCAAGCTCATATGTTCCATCTTCTCTGGCTGTATCGCTTAAGGAATGGAAGGCACCAGAAAAGATTTATTGAAATGTTTATTAGCTGAAGATTTATTTAGACAGTTGAGGAAAACACCAACACCCAGTAGTAAAATTGGCTCTCAAAGATTTTCTTCTCCTGTGAAAAGCCAGACCTCTGAGGCCCCATCCAGGTAGAAATACTAGTGCAAGAAGGGCCTCTGCTGTCCACTTGTGTTTCTGTGATCTGTGGAAACATTGTTAATGCCACATCTTGACCTCAAATTTTTTAGCTCCTGGCCGGGCGTGGTGGCTCACACCTGTAATCCCAGCACTTTGAGAGGCTGAGGCTGGTGGATCACCTGAGGTTAGGAGTTCAAGGCCATCCTGGTCAACATGGTAAAACCCCGTCTCTACTAAAAATACAAAAACTAGCCGGGCACAGTGGCGCAAGCCTGTAATCCTAGCTACTCGGGAGGCTGAGGCAGGAGAATTACTTGAACCTGGGAGGTGGAGGTTGCAGTGAGCCAAGATCACGCCATTGCACTCCAGCCTGAGCGACAAAAGGGAAACTCCATCTCAAAAAAAAGAGAGAAAGAAAGAAAGAAAAAAAATGTAGCTCCCGTGTCTGCCATCTTAAGTGTAAAGGTGGCTAAATTATATAGAAAAATAAGACAATATCATTTCCCAATTACATTCCTTTCCTACCCCA